AGGGAGGGAGGGAAAAGAAAGAAACATCAATTGGTTGCCTCCCATAAGCCTGACAGGGAATCAAACTGGCAACTTAGGTATCAAACCTGCAACCTTTTTGGTGTACTGGACAGTACTCAACAAACTGAGTCACTTGGACAGGCCATATTTAACTATTTTTTATTTATCCATTGACATATATTTACTGAGCATTTTCTTATTGTAAAGTATTAAGGATTTTAAAAAGTGTAAATTATGGTCTCTTCCTTCAGAGTTCACAATCCCCTTGAAAAGAAAGGCCACCTGTGCATGAAAGTTTAAGGCTGTAGTTCAGTAGGCTCAAGGGCATGAATTTTGAGAAAAAAGGCAATTTAAGCTGTAGTTATGTTGTATCTGAGGTGAAGATGGTAGGTAGAGTTAGCTACATAAAGGGATCTATACACATTAATGAAAAAAGCAAAATGTTGGCACAATTTGTAAATCTTACTCCCTAAAAAGTAAGTACATTTGAAATGTTTGACAAAATGATCAAATTTAATAATGGTTTTCAGTTACTTCTCTTTGTGGTCTTCACTTGCTTGGGGATTTTCTCAAAATCATTGGCTTCTTTTTAAATTTATTTTAATTTTATTTTTTCCATCACCATTTATTCCCTCTGTGCCCTCTCCCACCTCCCACACCCCCACAATCACCACACTGTTGTCCATGTCCATGAGTTGTTTTTTTATTTCTTTTCCACTCAATCCCTCCACCCCATGCCCACAACTGTCTGCCTGCTCTCTGCCTGAGTCTTTCTCTATCATTGGCTTCCTAAAGATAGAATAATCTATGTTTGAAAGGCTTCAGGAATATTTTAGGATTGCACCTCAAGCTCAGTCCACTTCAGGTCACATATTTTTGTTACTTTCTCCAGATAGATGAATACCAAACTCCAATTTGGTTGCATTAAGGGTGGGAACTAAAGGACAGAATGGAGAGCAGGCATTGACTGGAGCAGATAGGAAGGCTTCCAGTTATATCCAGAGGATGAATTATTGAATCAACTAAGTCAATGGAGGGTTTCAATACACAAAGGTAGAGGACAATATTATTAGCAAAAATTAGATTTCTTGAAAAATTATTGGGACTTTATTCCAAAAGTTATGTCAGTCCTTAATTATCATAGGAATCATTTGGTCCATATTGAAATGGAAGAAAACACACATTCTAATTTGATATATGCAATTTAGCATCACCAGAGAAGGGAAATAGTAGTGATATTTGTGTGAAATCGAGGGCTCCTTCCAATTAGGTTTTTCAAAGATGGTTATTGTCTGTGATTTTTTCAAAGAACAAAAAATAAATTGAATTCACCTATGCATTCATGTACATACATATACATACTCTTTTTTTTCTGACTTCTCTTATTCCACGTTTTTGTGAGATTTATCTATGTTGCTGCGAGTAGCAGTAATCTATTTGTTTTATTGTTGTACTAGAGGCCCAGTGCACGAATTCATACATGGGTGGGGTCCGGCTGGCCCGCCCCGATTGGGGGCCAATCAGGCTGAGCCAGCTGTGGGGAGGGGACACAGAAGGTTGGCCGGCCTGCCCCGCTCCCAATCAGGATGGGGGGGCCAATCAGGGGCAGGGCTGGCTTGGGGGAGGGGCCGCAGGCAGTTGGTTGGCTGGCCCCACCCCCTGGTCAAACCCAGTCAAACTCCTGGTAGAGGGGACAATTTGCTATTAGCCTTTTATTATATAGTGTAGTCTTCCATAACATTCAATACTATAATTTATCCCCTTTTTTAATCTTCATTTGTGTTCTTTCTAGTGCTGGTCTATTTTAACACATTCTTCATTTTATCATTGATCAAAACAGACCATCAAAGAGCTGGGTTTATCAAATAAAAGAGGTCATACTATAATATACTCATTGACCTAGGTGCCAATGAAAAGCTTACTTCTGCTAAGAAATGTTCATTTTTATCCTCATGTACAATGCAAATTTATGTATCAAACTTCTACTCTGGTTTGCTTTACCTATAATAATAAAATTCAAAATTGAAGCCAAACTTTAATCTCTCTGAATAAACGCTTTTCTGCATAACCATATTTTAATTCTTTTCTGGTTTTAATCTTCCAACTCTATTTCCTCTGAAAACATATGTTATCTATTTCACATTCTCCAATTTACTGTACTGCAATCCTTATAAACTACACTGTAGAATAAAACAGGAAACAAATACACTATTTAAAATTTACCTGGGACTCAGCCATTTCCTCTTCTTTCTGGGAATGCACAGTGACTGAGAAGGCAGAGCTGGAGAAGAAAATAAAAGCTATTAGATCAGGCTTGCTTTGTGGTTTCAGAAACATATACCCACAGAGATTAAGGTAACACTGTAGCAAAGTGATATTTGGGTCCATCAGAAAGAATACGAATATTCATTCCACAGATGTGCTAATAAGCACAAGGATGACTGGTATGATCATGTGGAGCTTAAGCATAAAGTGGAAAGGAATAAGAGTGCATATGTGGAGTAGGAGATGCAAAGGAATGGAAAAGAATAGCAGATGGAAATGAACAGGAGATGCCTCATGAATTATCCGTAACTCTGTATCAGAAAATAAACGGTTCACATGAAGCTAACTAGCTT